ACGCTCAGCCTTGTCTATCAACCCCAATGTTCTGTCTGTGTTGTCTGTCTCTGCTCTCTCGTTGTTACAGTCTCCGCCATGGTCTCCTGATCGGTGTGGTTCACCGGGGGGTCTCCTGTTCCTTCTGCTCCGCCGTGGTGGTCTGTCTGGCTCTGGTGGTCCTCTGCTCCGCCGTGGTGCCCCTCTGCTCTGCCGTGGTGGCCCTCTGCTCCACCGTGGTGGTTCTCTGCCCCGCCGTGGTGGTCTACCGTCTGGCTCTGGTGGTCCTGTATCGTGATACGTATCGTATCTTTGCTGGTGATACACAGCCCTACTATCCACTCTATCCACTTATTCTTGTCGTCAAAGCTGAATTTTCAGCAGCATTACTCCAGTCTCAGTGTCACATGATGCTTCAAAAAGCATTCTTATGCTCAAGAAACAATTCTTATTACTATCCATGTTGAAAACAGTTGTGCTGCTTACTATATTTGAGGAAACTGATCAGTTTTTTCAGGGTTCTTTGATGAATAGAAAGTTCAAGGACTCTATAAAATTACTTTTTGTAACATTATAAATGTTATTACTGACACTTTTGATCAATTTAATGCATTCTTGCTAAATACATATATTATTTCTAAATAAATTACAATTATAAATATATATATATATATGTAAGCATTTAAAATAAACATTAACTGCAAAATAGTACCTGCATGTATCATTTCTTTTAATGAATTGTTTTTGTGTGTGTGTGTGTGTGTGTGTGTCATGCAACTCAACAAATCTGTCTTAAAAACATCACACGCAAATATTACACAAGCCTCAGGGAATCCAATATACTTTCAAGTAAAGTTTAAATAATTATTATAATAAACATTTAAACAAAAGTCATAGGGCTCCATTGAAATGGCATCACCCTCAGTCCAAACTGGGTTCCAGTACTGCCTCTCCCCCGTACTTTCCTGTCTACACTATACCGTCCTATAAATAAAAGTAAAAAAATATAACTGCTTATTGGTCCATAAAATACTCTTTTTTTATTAGAGAAAGGTATGAAGACCACTTCCAAGCGTTTACCTAAAAGTCTACAAAGCTCATTTCTACAAATAAAGGCCACACCAGAGCGTATATCCACCAATAACACACTACTCTTACTTTTACAGCAAAAAAACCTAACATTCTTAGATGCTTTAGGTGTAAAAGCCAATAGAACAAATAAATAGAGTGGACACTTTATTGTAGTAATTGCATTCCCTCAGAAGAATGAGAGAAACATAGTAGTGTACCACATTCTAGTTGTTGCTCTTCTGTTGAACTGTTCAAATATTGGTCTATTCCATTGTTTTTAATCTCCTTAAAGTACCTTCTAATCATACATACTGACACTTACCAGCACATTTGGTCCGAGTGATGAGGGGTGGTCCCGGTGGTCCAGTGCCACCTTCCCCAGGTCGGGTCAGAAGAACCTTAATCTCATACTCCACATCTGGATCCAAATGCCAGAGCTTGTACGTTGGCGCATCCACAACATGCGTCTCGGCCCAGTTTCCAGTGGTGGTGCGGTACTCCACCTCTTTCAGGATGATGGGGCCGTCACCGATGATGGAATTGGCGTTTGGTTTGATCCACAAGTAGGTGGCACCAACTGCAAGAAGTTCAGGTGGAGCGATGGGTGTGGGTGGCGCTGAAGAAGAAGAAAGAAAGAAGGGGATTGTTTATTATCTACAATCTTTATTTATCACCTCACAACCAAGCCCGTCCACATTGGCATCAAAGAAAAGGCTAAACTAGTTGACATTTTATCATCATGTTGCCTTCAAATTCCTCCTGGGAAGTTTCTACTTAGAAACTCAGAAGTCATAATTATTATGAAGCGTGTTGAGTGTCAGAATCAAAAAGGTTTTCATATTTCTTTCTTTTGCACTTCACAACAAAAAGCTTTTTAACACTAGTGCAACAAAATGAAGCGCAAGAGATGTGCATTAGAATCAATGTTTTATCTGCATATTTTTGTTTATTCTTCATCAATAGCATGTGTACAAACTAATGCATTCACCATACAACTATTAAGATCAATACCAAGCATCTTCAATATATAAATAAATCCATATTTGGTGGATTAGAGGTGGAAGAAGCAATAGAAAGAAATAAAGTGGCTGCACTGAAATACATGAGCCAACTCTGGCAATAACTTTTCAGCAAATTTAAAAAGTTGTTGAAAGAGCAATTAAGGGCCGTAGAAAATAATCTCGCTTCAGTATTACACTGCATTCAGACATCATTTCACATTTGCTTTTGTAGTGCAAAATGGTGAGAGAAAAATGAAGGCTGCAATTACAGTGATGCATGTGGCTGAAGCTTTGGAGCTCATTAAGGGATATCAGACAGACTTGCTTGACCGGCAGAATTGTTAGAGTAAATGGAATGAAACGTTTCCTGGAATCCCAGTTGAGAAGGTGGGCTATAGCTTTTTCCCTTAACACTTAGCTAAGCTCTCTTCCTATCACTCTCTCTCTATTGCTTCTACATACTCACATTAAATCCACTGGAGACAGCTTACGGCTTGCACTGCATTAACTTCCTGTCTCTGCCTGTCTCTTCCTTCTTTGTCTCACTGCCATTGAGCACCTCAGATTTACCTTCAAACATGTGAAAGGTAAACAATATTTCTTTTTTCTTCTTTTCTTGCCTTCTTCCTTCTTTCATTGTTTACTACCTTCCTTCTGCTTCCAACTTCCTCTCTCCCTTTTTCTTCCATTCCCCTTCCTTTTCCCTGTTTTTCTTCATTTCTTTCTTTTCTCCTGTTTTCTTCCTTTCTTCTTTCCTTCCTTTTTACCTTGATCCTTTTTCTTCCGTACTCCCTACCTTACTTCCATACTTCCTCCCTCCCTTCCTTCTACAGGATTCTTTATTTCAAGTAAATAATAAAGAGAACGCAAGCAACCACATAGTGATGCCCTAGCAACCAATCAGAAGACCTTAGAAACAATCTGGCCCAGCCATCAAAACATTTTCTTTATAAAATATAAGAATTCGATTCAAACATTTTTGTTTCCCAAGTAATATTTTTAACTTCCTAATGTAAAAATTCATTCTGATTCATTTTCTTTATTTTATTTTATTTGCTTTCTTTCTTTCTCAGTTCCTGCCTTCCATCTTCTAATCGTCTTTTTGGCACTCTTTCTCAGCAGGAGATGGGGCAGACACTAATCCAGGGCTAGAGGTGAGTAGCGGTGCATGAAGGGTTCATCCGAGCATGGAAGAGCCACCCAGGCCCACTCTAATGAGAGGCTGCTGTCTCTACTGTGCCATGTAATCAACTGAGCCAGATTACCAAAGCCCATTTACCCACAGCTGATAACCACTGACTCCCTCAGCTGCCCGGAAAGGATATGCTCTAGCTTGGAGAAGAGAGTTTAGACGTAACCCGTCAACCTCCGAAGCTTAAGAGCGTTTAGTGCTTGAAATTAAAATTTCAATTGAAAGTGAAAAGGTGGGAGAAAATAAAAACAATAACAGAAAGGAAGGAGGAATAATAAAAAGTAAACATCGATTACCAGAGAAAAAAGATGAAATATAGGAGGGTTTAAAGAAGAAAAACATTTTTTTTTTTTTTTTACATTTTCTGCAGAAACTGTCCACCTATAGTCTCTACAATATTCTGTTTTTTAAATGAGTCACTCATTTAAAGTCTATTGGATATTTTTCACCTTTTTTCGGCTTAGAAAACTAATATATGTGTAATACTTAAGCATAGGCGTTTAAATCCCTAACCATAAACATGACCAATAATTTGCCATAGTAAACCCCAGTAATAATGACTGCAAAACAAATCTTCAACACTTTAGTGTGAAATGAGATATTGCTTATGGATAATGTCTTATTTATCATATGAATGGACTCCAGCGTGTTGTTCATCAAGGTAGCTGTCACATCCAAATTGCAATTTTGAAGTAGTGCCTTTGTTCAAACCATTAATACACTTCCATCGTTTAATGCATTTTCAGCAGTCTTTATGTCAGCACATTGTCCTGGCGTGGGCATTTATGGTCCTGCAGTTGATAAACTCGGCGATTAGCAGAGTGTTTTTGGATTGGGCGTTTATTATTGCAGCTGGATTGAAATGAGGTTTGGAAGCTTCTGATGACTGCTGATGAATCTTGGTGATTGCTGCTTGTTGATTGGCTGAGTGATATTGTACTCCGGATGATTTACAAACTATTTTGTGCTTCCAGCCTTAACAATGTGGTTGTTGATTAGTGCTACGCAGTGGTGGAAAGAGTACTGAAAATTTGTACTTAAGTACAAGTACTGTTACATTGCTGAAATACTACTCAATTACAAGTAAAAGTACTGGTGCCAAAACAGTACTTAAGTAAAAGTACAAAGTACTCTTCTCAAAAACTACTCAGAGTACTAGTTACTAGTTACTTTTTAGCCGGCGATATTTAATGAATTACCAAAAAATATTCATTCATATCAAAGATCTATGTGGATAATAGCTATTTTGAACAAAACCCACTTTCATCTTATTGACAAAGTATGTGAATTAGTGGTCATGATACAGGAATTTCTAACTTCAATACCTTGAAAAATATCAATAGTGTACCCGTGAATCGGAAGTTGCAACTGACTTCAGTGTTGTGATGTACTTCCAAGTGAAACGGAATATTGAATAAAGGGCGGGGTTTTATTGTGGTGCACCTCCTCTCCACCTCCTGCTCATAGCAGATTCACGGTTGGATAGTGGTTAAGAATATCTGCTTGTTACATCTGACATCACGCTTCACTGCTTCTGGGTCCTAACGCTTTGTCAAACCCCCCCCAAAAAACAACAAACTGTGCTAATATACACCCACGATGTCATGTAATACTGAAAAATTATAACCCTAACCTTTATCACCATACTGAAATCCCAGATGGCCTGCCAGTGATTCAGCTAAAATATTAGTGTCTGAGACACTGTGAGGACAGAGACTGTAGTGTGCACAGCAAACTTTTAAATGCTTAGCTTAAATATGTAATATTAATTAAATAGTGCTCATAAATGGCTGTTGAGATAGTATTCTCAAGTGAAATGAGTAGAGGCTTGGACCCGGAAACAGCAGTCCTTATGTCATGACTTAACAAGAGTATTCTCCCAAAGCCGTCAAACTGACGTCATCAGAGCCAGAACGCCATTCCAGAGCGGAAGCCAATTTTCAGTTTTTGATTAAAGATTACGACGGCAGACAATTTTTTCCCCCGGTGTATTGACTTGCACGGTTTAAGTTTTCACCACAAGACTAGTAATGTGCACTAAAAAAAAGGAAGTAGGATCATTTTTGATTTCTTGACGAATTTAATAATTTTCAATACCATTGGCAAAACTATACTGTATACTGCCATATACTTTATATGATTAACAGATTTTAATATAGGCTTTTATTTACATACATATAAATATCGATCAATTACCATTACAAAAATCTCAATCTTAAACATTTGCTCATTCTGTGTATTTGTGTCTTTAAAATAGGCTAACTTTGTTGCAAAAGCTTACAGCACAAGGAAGCATGATTTAAAATTTAAAATTTCAAACTGAATTGAATTTACATAAAAAGACAAGTGCACAGTCAGTAATAAAATAAAAATCATAAAACAAATTACCTCAATTCAGTTGAGGTATTCAAAATATGACCACACTGAATTTTTATAGGCAGTGATTTAACAGCCATATATGTGGTTTATTTAGATAAATCAGATGGCTTTGACCTGTAATGACTGTACAATGTAGTGATGCAGTTAGACAGACTAGGATATTTATATGTACAAATCATACAAATATCCCATTCCAAAACATGTCTAGCATACTTACATTGTAAAGAAATTAAAGTTAAATTTTTGATAGTTGAAAGACTTTCTGATGCATTTCACTTACAGCCAATAACATTTCCAGTAGCGTTTTCATCGGTCAGGCGTGGATCTATTCTGAATGGTTGATAACTTTTGGCAAAGTTTAATCCAGGAGCAAAGAGCAATAATTTCTAGCACGGGAGATTGCGATTGCACACAGTCTGAGTGCGCACAAGCAATATCGGAGTGAGAGGACAGGCAGTTAATTTGTATAAGTTAGGCATATTTGAGAGCTTGCATCCAGTTTTCCTGCGATTACATGACTGTTCTCATGTTACAATAAAGCGCTAGGCATATTTGCGCAGGAATGATTACAATTATGCGGAATACCTGCAAGCCCGCGCGGACATTCAGACTCTGTAATCGACAGGAGGCGGATGCATGTCAAACTCACCATCGGAGAGGAGAGCGAGATGCAGCTTGATTAGAGGATATTTGCCTAATTCTGCCCTGCATGTGTTATTTGTTGTGTGCCGGTGCAGATACTGTGGAAAATGATTAATGGAACCATGTCAGATATTTCAGTATCGGTATCAAAATATAGATATTTATGATAACACTACCATGTAGTTTGTTTCTCCAAACTTTGAGTCCATAAGTTACGCTGAGCTCCATCACTGTCTGATCAGCTCTTCAGAACCTGCTGCAGCAGCGGCTTTTCCCGGTCCAGATCAGGGCTTTTATTGGTCCCTTCACGATCGGATATCTTTATTGGCTACTGAAGTGCCGTCAAAGGTTTGAATATCAATTCAAATTGTGGGCGTACTCAGTAACGAACTATGATTTAAA